TCTCACTCTCACTCTCACTCTCACTCTCACTCTCACTCTCACTCTCACTCTCACTCTCACTCTCACTCTGACTCTCACTCTCACTCTCACTCTGACTCACGCCTGTGCTCGTCAGAGTGGATTCTGAGAAACGTTTTCCCTTTTGAGGGATAAGGGGTGGAGGAAAGGGAAGCTGAACTTAAAAATTGATGGCCGTCCATTTAACACTCAGATGAGAAGCTATTTTGAGAGGCCGAATGGCCCATTTTTCTTCATAATTTTGTGTCGTCTTTTGTTCTGTCAAGGTGTTTTGTGTAAATTACCTCAAGCTGCGTTTAGTTTGGTTACTTATTAAGAAATGTCACATAAATCAAATACTGAAACAATTACTAAAATTTTATTTCATGTAGCAAGTTAGGCCTCAAAACCCAACTTGGCTATTACTCGATTAATGGTGGAACTTAGTAGTTCACAATAATTGCATAGGAGGAACTTGACTTTAAGGGCCATTTCATTTCCATGGCCAGGATAAAAGTCTGATTTGAGAGATTAAAACAAAGAATTGGGGAAAAGCTGGGCAGAGATTTGGGAGATGACATTACCTTCACTGTCAATGAAGAGGGAAGATATGCAAGATGTAGGACAGTAGTTTCCTAGGATAAATGGGTCAGTTAATACATTTGAATGGGAATGGGGACACCTCCTGATGAAGCGAAACTCACTATTGTATGGGGGTCAGAAGGAGAAATTGGGTGGTTCACAATTTAATGGGAATAAATGTGAAGAGAGGAAACAGGTGATCAATCTTGTGGACAAAATGAATTGGAAGGGCATGGCAGGAGTTGAGAGAAAATCTAGAGAAAGAAGTGAGTCCAGCTGGGACAGTGAGGAACGTTATAGAAAGCTTGGCTGAAATGAAAGGAGATGAGGTAGGGGTTGTAGGGATAGAGGTGGGTATTTTTGACAATAATCCATACTGCCAATGTGGTAAGTAACACTTAGAAGTGTTACAATTAAATTCTTTTTGAGTATGCTGCTGCTTTCATTTTTGAAATTTAAACCTAATTTGATTAAATCTGAAATAATTCCCCAATTAATTAGGAGAAATTGTCTTTTCTTTTGTCCTGTATAGCACATGACAAATTTGAGTAGTCTTGACTGAATAATTTTCACTCACCATTCACTTTCTGTATACACTTAAGAGTGAAGGAATTGTGGCAGACCATAAATATAACTTCTACTACTTTTTTGGCAAAATAAGATATTTTCAGGGCAATGTTACAATTCACCTGACTTTCGGGTGTGGGAAAATATGTGAAAGTGATTAAAATTCTCTTCTTTGAATATTAGATAACGTAGACCTAGTTGAGAAAGAAACGTATCACAGCATACGTTGACTTTCCATCATTTATGAGCATGCATAGAATGTGTAGACTAATTTTACAAATGAGGAAATATTGGTGTTTGTATTAAACCAAAGTTTGTAGCTGGTTGTTTGTACTTCTAGAGAGTAATTAGTTTAACATAGCACATTGGATTGGGGATGAAAAGAATAAAACATCAGAAAATGCATTCAAAGATGAGTATCAGTGAATTTGTGAACCTCTGTCAGTGATTAGGCAATTACAGTTATCTTCATGAAAGTGCACAGTGTTCAAGGAGGAGTGAAAGAATGCGATGTATTGTATTAAAACTGTATCTGGAGGTAAATATGTTTTATGGTGCATGCTTGAAAGTATATATAGCAAAAAAATTGAATATCTCAATTAGATCAAAGCACATGATTCACAATTAAAATCACAGTATTATGTGCTTTTGTATGCAGAAATGTATTTCAGTTTGATTTTAAAAGGACCCTAGATTGCTTCCCTAATTCATATTAAAAAAACATAATATCATCTGCAGAGGGCCTTTTTCTTCAAAGTGTAACAGGAAATGAGGTGAGACTCAGAATCGAACAGTATTATATCCCTGAGCAATCTTCCTCCCTCAATTTGCCAAACAGTCTGTAATATTCATTCTGTATTTTCTTTTAGTAAACTCTGGGGAGTGGGGTTGTTATGGCAGGTTGAAGGGCAGCTTGTCTGTGAAACATTTCAAATTTTAAAAGACTGGTTTCATATACCGCTCGGTTCTTGAAACCTTCCAAAGTGCTTCACAGAGAAAGAGCTACCTGATGAAGTGGTGTCACTTTTCCCGAAAAGGTAATTTGTTCGTAGCAACAATTAGATTTGAAACTGAACATGTTGGAGGTACTCCGTACTTCTGGCATATTTGTGGAGAGAAGTAGTTAACTTTAAGTCTGTGATCTTTGCATCGCAACTGGAAAATTTCAATTAAGTAAATAATTGACAAAATTTGAGTGTGTTTTCTCTTTCTACAGATGTTGCCTGATCTGTTCACTATTTCTGGCTTTTTTGGTCATTATTTCAGATCTTTGGTATCATTTTGTCTATTCTAAATGATCATCTGATCTGTTTGTATGATGGTTGAAGGATGAATTTTGTCCAGGGAGAACCCTTGTCTCATTGTCATTGGATTTTCAATGACTTAATAGATGGTCAGTTAATGTTGGTTTTATGTCAGACCTGCGTAAAACATTGCTGCATTGGGAGTGTGATGTAGCGAATAGGATATGTACTGCCTAATAACAACAATTTAAGAACTTAAAATTATTAAGCTTCACCATGAATATATGGACAAAGGAAGAAGGAAAGTTGCATAGAAGGCTAAAGAGGGGGAAACAGAGCATTGTGGATGGAATACAAAAGAGGAGATTTGAGAAATAGAATGAGTTAAGTGGAGTAATTTGTAAATGAAGACAAGGAATTTGAAATAAATGTGTCGAAGGAATGAGAGTCTGCTTAATAACTGAAACTTTTATTTATATAGTGTCTATTTCATAATAAAACTCCCAACGTCCCTCACAGGAGCATTGAAAACAAAATATGGCACCAGACGTCAAAGGGAATATTAAATTAGATAATCAAAGTTTGGTCAAGGAGATTGATTTTAAGGAATGTCTTAAAGAAGGAAAGTGATGTGAAGTGTCATTTGGGATTTTGTCTTTAGTAGTAGTGTTTTAAGTTTATGGACAGTAGATAATGTGAGACCAGGAAGGAAAGCATGCAGAGTAGTTGATGCAAATATGCCTTAAGAAGGATTTTATCAGTGGAGAAGTTGTTGGTGGATAATGTTCTTGTGCTGATGGAGAGGGCATGAAATTTGAGGCTAAACTCTGAGTTCAACAGAATATTAAAACTATGAAGAACCTGAATTTACTCTGAGTTTTGAACAAATGGTTGCAACCATTAATGAGACTTACATTTGCTTGTAGACTTTCCCTGGGATTTGTCATCCAAAAAATGCAGCTGCCTGTGCAGGACATCTGGGATCTGTAAAGCTGAGAACTTGTACTTTTTTAGGAAGTTTTAAGGAGTGTTTAAAGATGGAAGACAAAGTGAAGAAGTTTGTGGAAGGACTTTCAGCACTTGGTTCTGGGCAGCTAAAGGCATGGCCACCAGTGGTGGAGCAATGAAGTTTGGACATACTCATTCTGGAATTCGAAAGGAGTAACATCTAAGGATTGTAAGAATGCAAGAGATTACAGAGAGGAAGGACAGGGCTGTGGAAATGTTTTGAAAACAGGATTAAGAATTTTAAAATTCAGGTGCTGCTTAACTGGGAGCTAGTGTAGGTCACTTAGCACAGGGACAAATTATGAAAGGGATTTGGTGTGATTTTAGACTCTGGTAACGGTTTTGGACACACAAGTGTAGTCAAGATTAGAGGTAACCAAAGCATGAGTGAAGATTTCAACAGCAGAAGAGCTGGAATAGGGGCAGAGTTGAACTATGTTACGGTGATGGAAATAAGCAATCTTACCTGTCTTGTTTTATGATCTAGTATGATATCAAAATTGCTAACAGCCTGGTTCAGCCTCAGACAGTTGCCAGGTAGAGGTGTGGAAGTGATAGTAAGGTGGATGATCTGAAGTGAATGGCTTCATTTTTGCAGTTACAGTTTGCGGAAAATTTCTGTTCATTTTGGTAGTGGATGTCAGCTGAGCAATATGATCATTCTGCATCTTCCTGCCATGTTACTTAATGCCCGTTTGGGCAACCACTTTGAAATAATAGACAGATAAGCGATACTGCCAAGTAGATTATGCAGAACTTGGATTAACTAACTTTTGCTTTTAAAGTTCTAAACCAGATTCTGCTGTTAATCTAAAGTATAGCTTGAGGAAAACCTATTGGAGACATTTCACATGCACCAAATTTCCAGGCATGCACTCATTCCTCATCATGTGCGTGTCTCATCGTCTCCAGCTTGCGCTTCAACTATGTTAAAACCAACTGCACTACACTACCGACTAGAAAGATTAACATGTAAAATATTACTGAGATGAATTAACTTCATGTTCTTTGATTTGCTTCGGATCTTTATTTAAGAAAGGAAATTTGAGTGTATATTTCTCCAGTTTAGCTTTCTTAATGTTTTATTTGGTACAAAGATATTGTCTGCCTTAGGATGTTCATCTTAATATTTAACTCCAGATGCTAGCTTTAATGTGCTGGTGTAGTCTGTTTGCAAAACTCACTGACCACTCGTGCAGCTTTCAGAAGAGCTGGGCATTTTGGAAAACAGTTTCCACGTTTAATTGTGTATATGTGATCACTAGAAGTTGCTGTCAGATTTGCACATAATAACGATGAGAGTGATTAGTCTCATTGTTATTTTTGTAGTAAATCTGATCAATTTTGGTTGTGTCTGTGATTTTGCATAGAAATAAAACCAAGTCATGAAAGATTGCACAATGTCCTGACTGAAATAAGGGTACTCCTATGGAACTAAGCTGCGTTTTTAAATTTTTTTCATTTGTCACAATCTCTTTACACTATGTTTGAAGGAGTATTGAGGTGGAAGATAAACTTCATCATTCTTGTTTTGCACATTGTTTGCAGGTTCTTCTTTCTGAGAAGGAGCAGGAAGTAAAGGAACTTAAAGCAAAATTGGCAATTGTTGACAAGGAGAAGGAAATCCTGGAAGAGCTGAACAAGGCAAGTGATTCAAGTAGTTTGCTTGTATGATTTCTGAGAAATGAGTTATTTAGAGTGTAAAGTCTTATTGGGTACTTCTCAAATTAAAGGCACTCTTGCTTTCCCATAATCTCTCTGTCTCCACCTTTCCCATCCCACCCTACATTAAAAAGATTTGGAAAGTCTTGGAAAGATGTTGGTGTATTTGTTAGTATATATATCACCTCAACTGCCCAAGAATCTTTTATGATTTTACCATTGTACTAAGGAACGATATTGTATGCAATAGTGTAAATTATGAATACATTTTGTTAAAGTGAACATTTTTCTTCCACTGTAGTTGAGATATTGGATTTTGGTAGTGTAATAAATTTAAACAGGAAATAAGTGGATAACCTAATTTTCAATTGATATTTCTCATGGGATTTGTCTGAATGGTCTTGAAGTTTGTAGCTTTATATTACAAATGACTGTTTAGTAAAACTCTGGACGTAAAAATTATTCTATAACTAACTGCTTCTCCTCTCTTAGGAATTTTCAAGGGAGATATGTAGGCATGATGATGAAGAGCAAAGTTCACCAAGTTCAAAGCCTCAGGATACACAGATTTTACAATATCCAAATCCATATTCTTCGGATCCTTCTGTTGTACCTGTGAAACATCCTGGACTAAAGTTTGGAAACCCTTATGCAGAGCCTGGGAGAGGTTGGTGCTAGTTGGGAGCAGCCCCTCAACATATTACTTTAGTTTAATAGTAAAGAATGATTTTTTTTTTTTTTAAAAATGTGCTTGTTACTTTTTCCTACTGAAATAATATTTCCTGTAATTGGTTAGCAAATTAGCTCCCTTTGTCTTAATGTATTTGATTTCAGGTGGGGCAGATGGAGCACCTTATCCTGATGAGATCCGTAGACTGCCTAAAGGGGTTCCCTCATGGGGATTGGACAGTACCGTGGTCTGTAGCCAACCTTCTCGCAACTTTGGTAGACCAGATGGACTTGAAGACCCCAATGAGCTTATTAATGCAAGTGCTAATTGATTTTCATTTGATCTTAATAGAGATTTGATCAGTTTGCTGTAACAAAAATTGCTTTGGTGTATCATTAATTTTGGACCATCTGGTTCAGCCACAAAATTGGCTCATGCCAGTCATAAGGGTTTGTTTTATTGATTGACCTTTGCATATAAGAATATAAATAAATGTAGTAGTGAAGTGTTACTAATAACATTCATACATCACACATTTGATAACTGACCATAATTAATTTGGCTCACTCATGCTCAGTATCATAGTGTTGCATTGGCTAAAAATATTTTGTTCTTGTTAATTATTTAATTAAAAACAGTTGAGGCAGTGTCATAGGTTGATATCTCACACAGAAATATTTAATCCTTCACTATGCTATATAAAACTAAGAAACAAATTCAACAGAGGTAATTTGCTTTTGTGCCAAACTATCTTTCACTTTTTACATGGTGCATACACTGGAGTATTCAGAATTTAGATCCACCATTACCTTAAAATTCAGAGTGCTTAATTGGATTGTCCCAGAAAATCAGCAAAGGTAACAGATAAGCAAGGTATTAATGGGAGGGAAGGTTTTGTAACAGTCTCTATCACAAGGGACAAAGTGTTTGACAAACTAATGGGATGAAAGGCATACAGGTCACCAGGACCTGATGGCCTGTGTCCAAGGGCTTTAAAGAAAGTGGTTGCAGAAATAGTGGAGGCATTGGTAGAAAATTTCCGAAACTCACTGGATTCCAGGAGAATTCCACTAGATTGGAAAGCCACTAATCTGACTAATTCCTGTTCAGGAACCAGCAAACTATAGGGCAGTTAGTCTTAAATCTATTAATAGGAAAATACTAGAAACCATTCTTATGGACGAACCAGCAGGACATTTAGAAAAGTTTAACGAAATGAAACTGAGCTAGCCTTGTTTGTGAAAGAAAAAGCATGTATGATCAATTTGTTAGAGATCTTTGAGGACGTAACAAACTGGTAGATGTCATGTGTTTGGACTTACAGAAGGCATTCAATAAAGTGCCACATAAAAGGTTGTTGCAGAAGAAAGGAACTGTAGGGATTATAATGAGGTCAGCTGGATGGACCTCATAGAACAAGGTTGTTAGCTTGCTCCAATCAGGGAGCCCTGGCTGACAGACATAAGCAGGAATGTCAGAGGTCCTGTTCATTCTGAGAGCTGGCTCTGAGGAAGCTGGACCAGTGTCAAGTACCGTGCACGTGTAAATAAAGGGTGACAACATACTGGCCTCTGTGGAGCTTACTTCACGATCTCATGGTATTGGGAGCCATTTTGAGCATAGACCAAGGACTGGTTGTGTGCACAATGTGGAGAAACTGGATTAACAGGTCTTTCTTTCACGTTGGAAAGACATAAGTAATGGACCACAAGGAATGGGCCGAGGTCCCCAATTATTTTAGATCTTTATTAATACTTGGAGGAGGAACCAAATGTAATATGTACAAAGTTGCCGCTGATACAGAAGTGTCAAAAGTAAGATGGAGGGCGTGGTATGATGAGGACATAAGGAGTGTTCATGTGCTTATACATAAACTGAATGAGTGGGCAAAATCTTGGCAGATGGAGTTTAAGGTAGGAAAGTGTGAGGTCATGTAATTTGATAGCAAGAAGCAAAAGGCACACTATGTTTTAAATGGAGAAAGATTCCAAATTAGCAAGAGAAAAATGGGTGTTTTTGTGCCTAAAACGCTAAAGATTAGCATGCATGTGCAGCAACTAGAACAAATGAATTTTTGGTCTCTATTGCTTGTATGTTAGAGTATAAAAATAGTAAGTCTTGTTATAATCATACAGGGTATTGGTTAGACTGCAGCTGGAGTACTGTTTACGGTTTTAGAAAGGATATACTGACAATGGAGGCCATTCAAAAGAGATTATGGAGAGGGTGCAAAGAGGCTTCAAGAGGACATGGCTCTGCTTCATGAATGGGTTCAAACATAGAAATAGGATATTAGGTAAATTATTGTGACATTGTTCACTTTGGTAGATAAAAACAGGCAGAATATTTCTTAAATGGTGAGAGGTTGGAAAGTGTAGATGCCCAAAACGACCAGCTCAGTCTATGTGTCTCCAAAACTAACATGAAGCAGGCAATCAGAAAGACAAATGGTATGCTGACAATCATTTCAAAGGGATTTGAGTACAGAAGTAAAGATGTCTTTCTTCAGCTGCATATTGCTAGAGTACTGTGTACAGTTTTCTCCTTTCCTAGGGAAGTATACCTTGACCATAGAGGGCGTGCAATGCATGTTCACCAGACTAATCCCTAGGATAATGGATTGCCCTATGTGGAGAGACTGAGAAAATTCTCTGGTGTATATAATAACTAGAGATGATGTGATTGAAACTTACAAAATTCTTGCAGAGCATGACAATAAATAAGATAGGATGCTCTCCTGGCTAGTGACTCTAGAACCAGAGGACAAAATTTCAGAAGAAAGGGCAGGCCATTTAAGACAAGAACTTCTTCATGGAGTGGTAAATCTTTTAAATTCTGCTTCCCAGAGTGCTTTCAAGTTTGATCATGGAACAGATTTAAGACAGCAATCTGTAGGTTTTTGGAGATCAGTTTGCCTTTAGGGAAGTGTAGATAGTGCAACAAAATGGCATTGAGGTCAGCCATAATCTGGAATGGGCTGAATGGCCTACACCTGTCCCTATTTCCTTAAGTTCCAAAATTGGAGGAGTGCAGCTATCTCATGGAATTGTGGAATCTGAGGATACATTGCGAGAATAACTATGGAGGGATTTAAAAACAAGAATTTTAAATTTGAGACAGTGTTGGATTTGTGACCAGTGTGGATCAGCAAGTGCTGGATGGGTGACTGCAGATGTGGTGTTAACTAGGATGTGAACAGTCGAATTTTTGATTTCAAGATTATGGAAGGTGCAAGGTGAGAAACCAGCAAAGAGAGCATTGAAATAATAGAATCTAGAGGTCACAATAGTACCCATGAAGAGTTTCAGTAACAGTGTAATGCGAACACTGTACTGATATCCAACAATAGAATTGTCATGGGTTGTAATTTTGAGCATGGTTCTCATACTGATAACTACGTTTCCTCAAAAAAAAATCAATTCAAGTATTTTGCAGTGTTAACTTAAATTAGTGCCCTAGACAAATTCGAATGATTTGCAGAGCTCTATTGTTTGGAATTCTGCTATTCTGTTCACAGTGAGTGCAGTGGTATCACGACCTGTTTCTCATTTAGTCTAGTTTGCTGCATTTAATTGCTATTAACCTTTTTTGGAGTTGAACAGTGTTCAGACAGGCATGATTTCAAACCTAGGGTTCAGCATCTTAGGAAAGGAAAATGATTTTCACCTCCCTGACTTTTTAACCTCTTCTGTCTATTACTGCGTATAATTAGAGAAACTGTCATAACTTTCACACCAAATTGAAAGAGTAGAAATGTGCACTTTGTGATGTTACCTACCTTAGTGTTCATTATGCATTTCTAATATGACCATCCCTGGTGCAGGTATTGCACATGACAAGCTCTTTCAGTCATCTGCTGCAGTTTAATTAGCACCATATTCATGCTGATCTGAGTGTCTTTGATCCTCTTTGCCCTTCTGCAAACCCATGAGGATGAGTTCTTGTGTCTTGTGCTCATTTGCTGACATAACTCAGCTTTTGTACTGAGACAGAGGGACTCTAATGTGTTCCAATAAGCAGATTGTCTGTGGGTCACCGGTGAAGATAATGGAATGTACGTCATGGATTTTACAGAATTGCAAGGACTATGGAAAACATGAAGCTACTTAGTGCTTAAGGAATTTTTTGAAAAAAACATTGTTTTCTTTGCTGTAGAGATTAATTTCAGTGTAATTTAACCAGGCTGCACCTAAAAAATCAATCATTCTAATTATTTAATTTGTATTGAATTCAATAGATAGATCAGACAACCAGCAAAATAATTTGAATTAGTTATGCATCCATAAACTGGATTTCCCCTCATCTTAGAACTGCACTTTTGCCAATTTGAAATTGTAACTTCAATCCATAAAATATTTTAATTTGCTTTCAACATTTTAGTTAAATTCTATACTCTTCAGGTATGACAGTTTATTGATAACCAGTTTCCCTCTTGTATAGCTCGAAGAAGAGGGGCCTGCTTTTTACAATTTTGAATATGCAAAACTCCAAATTTGTTGGTTTCTGTAAAGATTTAAGAATATGGTTTTAAGGATGAGAAACATCAATTACACAAATAAGTTAGTGAAGCTACAGTGTTCTCTTAAAGAAGTTTGAGAAGAAATTTGATATGTGTCCAAAATCGTGGCATGTCTAGACAGTGAGTGAGAAACACTTTGCAATGGTAGAAGGTCAAGAATCTGAGGATTCAGTTTTAAGGTGATTGACAAAAGAATCAGAATTAACAACTTTTTGCACAGTGAGTGTTTAGCATTAGGAATGTACTGCTGAGGTGGTGGTGGGGTAGTTAATTGGGGCTTTCAAAAATAAATTGGATAATTACCTGATGTGAAAAAATGTCAAGGCTGTGTGTAACAGCAGGAGAATAGGGCTTGCTGAGTCTCTGATGAAGGGTAGGCATGGTCACAGAGGGCCAAATAGCCTCTTCCTGTGCATAACTGTTCTGCGACTCTGCAACTGTGGGAAGGTTTTAGAAAATAAATAGTGACTTTTAGCAAGGTCAGAAAATCAAATTTATATAAACAGCTGATATTCAACTTATCTAAAAAGCACATACTAGGTACTATGAATAAGGAAAAAGCTCCCCTCTTAAGCTTTGCTTTTACTTGAAGTACCTTACCCTTGATGCGTGCATGAGGAATCTGATTTGGTAGCTGTAATGTATTTTACATTGCCGTTATTTTCCCTATTGTTCCATTAGCTTTCCCATGGAAGCTACTTATGTGACCTTGTTTATGACCATGTTCCAAAGGGTTATTTCTATACTGAATACAGTGCCTCTATCTAGTAGATATCAACCGGTTTATTTAGTAGTGTTAAATGCATAGCAGATAGAAATTCTAGTCA